TGTCCTTCTCATATGGATGGTTTTTAATTTTGCATTATCGGACGCTGTGGCGACAGCCGATGGTCTCCCCTTCCACACCGTCGACCGGACCATCGAGTGTAGACGCGACACCTGATGGCTAGGCGTCGCCTCACCGCACGAGGGTCGGGCCCGGTGTGGATGGTTTCTTGGTTCCAATGTGATATCTGCTCTGTGCTTGACTACTTCGACTTCAGCGTGACTCGCAATTCAGATTTCTCACACATGCATGGTTTCTTGGTTCTAATGTGCTTTCTGCTCTTCGCTTTACCACTTGGACTTCAATGTGGTTTGCAATTGGAACTGATGTGTCATCTGCTCTTTGCTTGGCTACTTGGTTCCAATGTGTTGTCCTTCTCACATGGACGTTTTCTTGATTGGCACCATCGGGCGCCACAGCGACAACCGATGGTTGCCCCATTTACACCATCGCGCACCGTGGGGACGGTCGATGATCTCCCCGTCCACACCATCAACCGGACCATTGAGTGTCGACACGACACCCGATGGTCGGGCGTCGCCTCACCGCACGAGGGCCGGACCCAATGTGGATGGTTTCTTGGTTCCAATGTGTTGTCTGCTCTGTGCTTGACTACTTGACTTCAGTGTGATTCACAATTTGGATTTCTACACTTCGATCACACATGCATGGTTTCTTGGTTCCAATGTGTTGTCTGCTTTTCGCTTGACCACTTGGACTTCAACGTGGTTTGCAATTGGAACTGATGTGCCATCTGCTCTTTGCTTGGCTACTTGGTTCCAATGTGGTGTCCTTCTCACATTGATGGTTTCTTGGTTCGCTTGACCACTAGGACTTCAGCGTGGTTTGCAATTGGAACTGATGTGCCATCTGCTCTTTGCTTGACTACTTCGTTCCAATTTGTTGTCCTTCTCACATGGATGGTTTCTTGCTTGGCACCATCGGGCGCCGCGAAGACAGCCGATGGTCTCCCCGTCCACACCGTCGACCGGACCATCGAGCGTTGACGCCACAACCGATGGTCGTGCGTCGCCTCGCCGCACGAGGGTCGGGCCCGGTGTGGATGGTTTCTGGGTTCCAATGTGCTATCTGCTCTGTGCTTGATTACTTCGACTTCAGCGTGATTCGCAGTCCGGATTTCTGCACTTCACTCACACATGCATGGTTTCTTGGATCCTATGTGCTGTCTGCTCTTCGCTTGACTACTTGGACTTCAAAGTGGTTTGCAATTGGAACTGATGTGCCATCTGCTCTTTGCTTGGCTACTTGGTTCCAATGTGTTGTCCTTCTCACATAGACGGTTTCTTGATTAGCACTATTGGGCGTCGCGGTGACAGCCGATGGTTGCCCCGTTCACACCATCAGGCGCAGCGGCGACAACCGATAGCCTTTCCGTCCACACCGTCGATCGGACCATCGAGCGCTGATGCGACACCCGATGGTCAGGCGTCGCCTCTCCGCACGAGGGGCGGGACGGATGTGGATGTTGTCTTGGTTCCAATGTGTTGTCTGCTCTGTGTGTGACTACTTGGACTTCAGCGTGATTCGCAATTTGGATTTCTGCACTTTGGTCACACATGCATGGTTTCTTTGTTCCAATGTGCTGTCTGCTCTTCGCTTGACCACTTGGACTTCAACGTGGTTTGCAATTGGAAGTGATGTGTCATCTGCTCTTTGCTTGGCTACTTGGTTCCAATGTGTTGTCCTTCTCACATTGATGGTTTCTTGGTTCCAATGTGCCATGTGCTCTTCGCATGAACACTAGGACTTCAACGTGGTTTGCAATGGGAACTTATGTGCCATCTACTATTTGCTTGACGACTTGTGTTCCAATGTCTTGTCCGTCTGACATGGTTGGTTTCTTGCTTGGCACCATCGGGCGTCGGGGCGACAGCCGACGGTTGCCCCGTTCACATCGTCGACCGGACCATCGAGAGCCGACGCGACACCCGATGGTCGGGCGTCGCCTCGCCGCACGAGGGTCGGGCCCGATGTGGATGGTTTCTTGGTTCCAATGTGCTATCTGCTCTGTGCTTGACTACTTGGACTTCAACGTGATTTGCAATTTGGATTTCTGCAGTTTGGTCACACATGCATGGTTCTTGATTCCAATGTGCTATCTGCTCTTTGCTTGAGTACTTGGATGTCAGCGTGAGTTGCAATTTGGAATCCTGCATTTTGTTCGCGTTCGTGTTCCTTGCGAAAAATTGGCTGCTGTCGAGGGAGGGTTTTGCTTATCGCCCCGACGAATTGGTGATGGTAGATCCGACTGGGGACAAGCGATCTCCCCCCACCCGCCAACAATCGGGGTGCCCAGACCGTCGACCGTCGTGGTGAGACCCAATGGTCGGGTCGTCGAGACCACCGGCCGGAGCCGCTCCATTCGATGGGCGGTCGACCGGGGCTAACATCGGGTGTCGCCACGACGGCCACCGGGTGTCAAGGCTGACATCGGGCGTCACCACGACGACCGATGGTAGGGGCGGCCCGCCTGTCGGGCGAGGCCTCGGCAACTGGTGGTCGGCGGCCTGAACGTTGGCCGTGACGCCGTGTTGGAAATGTAGTCTACCTTTCATTCCCGCATCGTCCGATGGTTCCTTTCTCAGCGCGGCGATGGAGGTCGTGCATGGGATGGGGGAGTGACGCTCTCTCCCGGCCCACTTCCCCTTTTTCTCTCCAGAAACCGTAGATGGGATGGGAGAGTCACGATATGCCCTCTGGCTCGATGCTTGTCTCCTCCGTGCAGTGGTCATGGAGAATGGCATGGTAGAGAGGACAGTCTCTTCTGACCTGCCCCCGATGTTTTTGTTGAAATTTTTGTCTATCTCTTCTCGTTGGCTGCTAACCGCGCGGTGGATCCGTGCTCCTCTCGCATGGCCACGCCGCATCGACAGGACAATGGACGGGGATGTGCCGGCCGCTCCTGACCTGCCTCCTCCTCTCCGGGGAGGTGGGGGTCATCAAACGGGAGAACGTCGGGCGTCGCCGCGACACCGGATGCTCGGGCAGCCCGAACATCGGGCGTCGCTGCGACATCTCTTGGGCGGGCAGTCGATCATCGGGCGTCGCGTCGACACCCGATGGTTGAATGACCAATAGCCTCGGGCATCACTTGCCTTTGCCTCGCTTGTGCTAATCACATATTTTTTCCTGTAGGTATGTAGATGGGGTTCCTTCTTCATCGCAGACGTCCACCGCCAAGGTGGGTTGGCAGAGCGGCATTGTTTCGTGGGATGGAATGGGCGATTGACTGGTTTGGCGGGGTTAAGCAGCAAGGGTGCGGTCCCATGATATTCCTGAAGGATGATGGTGGACATTTTTACGTGTGCGGCGGGATCGAGAGTTACGGCGTCGACAAATTTGCCGGTGAGGAGGGGTACTACGATTTCCACTTGACCACATGCTTCGACAGAGGAGGAGTCGAATTGTCGGGGAATTACAAGAAAGTGTCGCTGCACCTAAATTTGTTGGCTACGACATGAACGTTGTGGCATTGCCCCCGTTTGATAGGTCGAAGAAACTGAAGGCTGTCGAGATGGTGGGACCGATCGAGTTCCTCAAAACGCCATGCTATAGAGTCATGGGCTTTAAGGTCAAGGTGGGCAACAACGTGCAGTTGTCGACATCGTTCGTGGCCGCGCACACTTCGAGGGAGGTGCTGGAGGACATTTTGAGGACACACAAACACGGGGAGTCTAAGCAAGGTACGCTGCGATCCACTCTCGGCGTTGGAGCGAAAGGTGGAACGCATTCGACAAGGGCGAAGAACACCGCACCGACCGAAAAGGCATTCTTCGTGACGACCGAAACGCCTTCTGCTCAGGATGGGTTTTCCAAACCGGGGAGCACGAAGGAGAAAATGTCGAAGACCGCCAAGGCGTCGTCAGTCTCTTCTCGTGGGATGTAGCGTCAGAAAAAGGCTTCATCTCATGACAAGGACGCAGAGAATGCTGAATGTGACACCCGTGGGGTGTCGTCCTCCATCCACTGTCCCGATGGGGATGATGGGGATGACGAAGGGGAGGGGAAGTCGAGTGAAGAGGGCGCCGAGGAAGGAAGTACGCATGTCGATACCAGGGAGGACGACGGTGATGAGCGGGAGAGTGGCGAGGACGATGGGGACGACAGTGCAAGCGAGGACGAGGGGGGTGAGGACGAAGGGGAGAACGGGGAGGAACCCGGGAGATGCAAAAGAAACAACTCCACACGGACGAAAGAACAAAGGTAGAGACAAGGAAAGCGAAGAGGATGAAAGCGGTGGGGAAACAAACTAGGACGTCGAAGTCGTCGGCACACAAGCATCAGCGAACTCGCGCAAACGAAAAATGAAGAGTGAGCGATGTCGGGCGGAGATCTTTGGTTTGGGCGCGTCTCATACCGCATACGTGCAACATTTAGAAAGAGAATCGGAAAAACCCGAGAAAGAAAGGTGTGAGCGGCCCACGAAAAATGCGAAGAAGAAAGTCAGAGTTGAAGGAACGAACGAGGTTGTTGACTCCGACGACGAGGGAGTTGGGGTTGACCCGAGAGACCACACCGCGACAGCCGGGAAGCTGCAGTCGCCCGCCTTTGACACAACAACTTGTTTCTTCCATGACAGTGACGGAAATGCAGTGCAACGACCTCAAGAGATCTACGTGGACTGCATGAAGGTTTTGCCAAACCCTGTGGGAGACCCTGTGCCTACGTTGCCACTTGTATGCACCATCGTACGAGGACGGATTCGTACTCTTGTACTCGTACGTTAGGGGCCCCGTACGAGGGTTTTTTTTTTTTTTTTTTTTTTTTTTTTTAATCCGGTATTGTCTTTATTTTTTTTCTCAAATTCTAATACGAATCTGAAGATGACGCTCAGCCAAATGTTGCTTGTTTTGTTTTTCTGCATCACATAGTTTTTTTTTCGGATTTTTTTGATGACTTGTTTTTTTTTTTTGTTTTTTTTTTTGCTTTTTCGTACGGGGGCGTACAAGACGTGCAGGTTCCCGTACAGGTTCCCGTACGGATCCCGTACAGAAATAACCTGTACGTTTCGTACGGGAAGCCCCCGTACGTGTACTCTATGCAACGTAGCCCTGTGCAGTACAATCACAAACCGCTGAATGGCATGCTCGTCGTTTCCATCATGAGAGCAATGGAACTGCTAGAGAAGAAAGGAGAGTGGGACAGGGCCACATGGATATTGGCCCCAGTCACGGAAGTGCATGTTCATGGTCAAAAGCAGTGGGTGCGTGTGAAACCTGGACATTTCGACACGGATGACACACACACGTACCATTGGTACGCGGTGGGTGGACAACACACGGCGGAGGCTTTTCGGAGACTGGTTGTGGCCAATTCACCGGCTGCGCAAAAGTGGGGTGTGCGTTCATGGCGTGCACGGGTTGTGTATTTCGATGATAACCATCTCGATGGATATGCTCATATTTCGACTTTTGATAACACAAGGAAGACACGAGCTATCCCGGATTCCTTCCGTGTGTCGGTGAAAAATATCAGAGACATGTGGGTTGACATGGGGATGCCTTCTCGCGATTGGCAACACATACCGCCGGAAGCAGATAAGGAGGCCTTGAGAGATAACTATCAGAAATTCATCCGCAAAGCTGTCCAGCTGACTGCTGACTCCGAACTGCGAGGGAAAACACTGAAGCCAACCTACAACACGAATTGGTCAAATTTAGTGAGATCGCATCTTACATTGGCAACCGTTGGTAAAAGAGTGTGGGACCTTCTAACCCGATTCTTTGACTCGTGGGAGGCGGGACTCTTGCCTGATAAGACTAGCTTGGCTCCGGTGGATCAGCAAGGGAAACAAGTCGCCATAGCTGATCCAGGTCCATGCGCGTTGACAGTGGAAGGCAAGAAGGAGCTAGTGCACTACGTCCAGTCCAACAAATCGCCTGACGGGCACTACGTCTGCATTCGAGACGCTCCGCAAAGCGCGTGGAAGGTGTTCGGAGACTTGACTGCAAGGGAGAAGGAAATGGTGTTAGACATGATATTGGACCGCCCGGTGGTTGTCACAACGGGGCGGACGTTCAGCAAGAACTTGTTGAACATGGACGACATTCGGGTTGAAGTTCAGCGTGAGAGATACATGATACGCCTCTTCAACTATGTGATTTTTAAAATGGGAGATCGCAAGGAGGACGAGTGAAACGATGAGTTCTTCATTGACTGCTTGCATATAATGGACAGATTTGCCCCGACGGGACTCACCAAGGAACAATGGGAGGAAAACAAGACGAAGGTGCAAGGTCACAAGGCGAAAGATGTGCCAAAACGTCTCGGGGGCATTGACGAACCAAAGGTGGGCAAGGTGGGAGGGTTCAAGTTGACGCAGATACTATATAAGGAGTGTCCGTATTATCTGAAAGTGTTCATGCATGAAATTATCGGGGCTATCGACCACGTGCGGGATGAGTTGTGGCGCATAAGTGCAAATGTGTTGCACGTGATGTGGGATACAAACAACGATCGTACTACATTTCTTTCGATATGCTTGGCACCGTAGGAGGCGCTGCAACCATCAGAGGAGATCACACGAGCTGTTAAGAAACTCAATTGCCGCCTCGCAGTCCTGGACTTGTGCCCGCGCAAGTCAACAGCCCCGCACGAGTGGTCAGATGAGAGATTCGCAGTGCTACCAGAGATGATGAACACCTTTTGTGGCATGAATTGGGTCATTGTCATATTCTCGACGTTAAGAGTCGAGAAAACCGTATTGAAGAACGTGCTTCGTTGGGATCACGTTAAAGTGATTCCAGGTCGGTGGGAGAGACATTTTGGAAAGGACCAATATGTCGTTCCTGCTGGAAATCTTCCACTGCGACCTCGGGACTGCATGACCATTGTCATGCATGCATCGAACAACGACTACAAGAAGGTGACTGCGCAACCGCGAAACCATGTCACATGGTTCAACGATAACGTGAAGGAGGATTTATTTGTGCAATGCACGAACGAGCATGTTGGGATATCAGGCAATACAAAAGCCGTGTACGGACATTGGGAGAGAGAGCCAAAAACAGTGAAGGAATTGTGCAAATGGTTCGCAAAGGATGGCGAAGGTGTGCTGCTGCTCGGGAATGTGCAGGTAGGGTCAGTCTGGGAAGTGTTGCGGTCATGACACAATGTTGTTGCGTGGGACAGCAGTTCAACAATGCTCGATTGGACGTCCACATTCCTTGATATACAGGTCCACAGGCCAGAAAGTCGTTGCCACTTCGAACGGCCCAAAACTCCGTGGCTTCCAGAGAGAGACATGTACCTCAAGCTTGGCAAGAATAGGGAATCTCTATGGAAATACTTGTTCAGCAACGCCCCGAAGACTCCAAAGGACATCGGTTATATGCACCGAAAAGTGATTGCCATCCAACATCTCCAAGGCTACCATGAGGCAAAAAATTGTGCGATTGAAATATGCATAGCGAGGTGTGAGCGTTTGTGGTTCAACAAACAAGAGGACAGACAGCGTGCGAAGACATACGCCGATGAGCTGCATGCGGGTGAGCACTTTGATGTGCTCGACAGCAAGGAGGACACATCAGTGGACAATATGGATCTGCCTGTACCGGGTGCTCAAGAAGATATTCAACAGGCGTTGGACGGTGGCGAGGGTCGCCGGGCAATGGAGGGGATAGAAACAGATGTCGTGGCAAGCTGGAAGAGCATTCGTGGTGGGGAGCAGAGATCGTGTGAACAAGGAATGCAAGGGAGTGGAGGGAATGAGATCCGGGGGCCAGTTGGTGCAGGCAATGCAAGCAAGAACAGCAGCAAAGAAGGTTTGCGGCGAGGACCGACCTCGTTAAGTGGAAAAGACCCACATCTCCAATCCAAAGGCAAGGAAAGCAGTATCAGATACCCCGGGATATTGACTCAGCTGGACAACGTATATGTGAGCATGAGCCTCTCAAAGATCCCAAGAGAGAACTAATATAACGTGCCCCTGGAGGAAAATGCACAGATTGGCAGAATGGACGTCAACGCCATCAAATTCGCGCTCCCGCCCGACAAGGATAACAAACTGATGCCATGAGACACAAGGAACATATGCCGACACACTTTATGACAAGTTGCGAGATCAGAACATGCTGGCGTACAACACAAACTTTTATGACATTGAATCCAGTGTGTCGCACGGTCAGATCCCTTGGAAATTGCCAAGTCGAGAAGTGCTGCAAGAGTTTGAAGGTGAAATACGTCTTGGTAACAGTCAGCAATTGGGACATGACGGTGGTCACGCTTCGATGAGTACAGCGGAACGTCCATTCACGAGCTCCGTTCATAGTGACGAGCAAGTGGATAAGAGGAATGATATGGAAAAATATGTGGGCGACAACGACGAGTCAAGAAGAGATAGAGTACAGGCCGAACATCAATCGTTTCACCCCCCATCGCAACGGGGGGATTCCACGGTGGACAAAGAGTCAGCGGATCGCTTTGCAACAATGGAATCTCCCAAGGTTTGCACGTGGTTGGAACCACAAATGGCCACAGAACCAATGTCCATGCAAGGACCGGAGCTGACGAGAGAAGAGTCGGTGCCACAATTGAAGGGGATAGAAGATTTGTCAGAGAACACATCTGATTTGATGCTTCAACTGCTTTCTGACGGCGGTGTACTCGAGGGTGGGCCAGTTGGTGTTCAGAGGAAAGAGAACGTTATGGCCTCGATGGGAAGAGACGATGACGAACTTCAACGAACCACGACGGTTGGCGACAAGCATCAACAGCCCAAGCGCAAGAGAGAGGATGACGATGATGTCATTGACATCGGGACACAGTCACGTGAGCAATTAGGGCGTGGTGAGGACGGGGAGGGCTGACAAAATGAGAAAGAATAAGAGGAACATCACCATGTGACATTGCAAAAGGAGGATGTAATCTGCAATGACAAGTCAAAGAGAGGGAACACAACAGAAAACGTTGTGCTCCGACGTTCGGGGAGACCTACGGCAAAAAAGACATGGCATGACGACTAGTTGTGTGCATAGAAGTGATTGTACGTGTGTGAGAAGATGCGTTTGTGTGTAATTATGTGTGTGTGTGTGTGTGTGTGTGTGTGTGTGTGTGTGTGTATGTGTGTGTGAATTTTTCTGCATGGGCGCGCATAGGTAGGCTAATGTTCGAGTTTCGAAGGGGTTGTGCTGTCGTGGTTTTTTTTTTTTTT